AAGTTCTTGACGCCAGGGCACAGGGACGGGCGGCAACGCGTGGACAACGAGCGGTCCACGCAAGGACAACGCAGGGTTCTGGAAAGTTGGCAGCCCAAACGCGGAAAACGCAACGCGACCCGACCGCCCCCTCCAAAACAAGAAACGCGCTCAAAGAAAGCTCCGCGACTCTCCGAGCCTGAGATAGGACAAGAGCGAGGGGAAGGGAGTCAATAAGAGGTGTAAGAGCGGACGAGCCAGCGATCCCGTGCGCTCTGAAAGTAAGTGCGCTTTCCGTCCCCGTGCCAAGCAGGTCAAATGGCTTTTGGCCCATCCCGCCACCGTGCCTGGGTAGTGGGTATGAAGCCTATCGGATGTTCGTTGGGATCTTGCGGGAGGTTGTTCGGAAATTTATTTGAGGCATTTTGGATGTCTCTTACGTTTTTGGGTGGGGGGGCCTCTTGGGGGCGCTCTTGGAGGCCTCGTGGGGTGTCCTGGGCGCCTCTTGAGGCCTCCTGGGCGCCTCTTGGGTCGGAAGGCTCCGATTTTCGGTTCGCGTGTTCTCTTTCGGGCCCATTGTGGCGCCGTCTTGGGATCGTCTTGAGCCGTTTTCGGCGCCTCTTGGGCCGTCTAGGGGCCCTCGAAGTCGGGAGCCTCTTGGGGGCCCTTGGGGCCTCCTGGGGCCCTGTGGGGGGCCCTTTTGGGACCGTCTTGGGGCTCTCTGGGGCCGTTTTGGGCGCTTCTTGGGCCGTCTTGGAGGCGTCTTGGCGGCCTTTGCGGCCGTCTTGGGGCGGTCTGGGAGGCTTCTTGGGCCGTCTTGGAGCGTCGGGAAGCCGAAGGCCAACAACTTGCAAAAAAAACTAATGAAAATCAGCGAATGTTGCCCTTCGGGGCACTCCTCGGAAGCCTCTTGGATGCCTCTTGGGGCGTCTTTCTTGGGCCGTCTTGAGTCCACTTTGCGCGTCTTGGAGCGATATGTGAGCGAGTCGGAACCCTCTGGGACCGCCTTGGGGGCGTCTTGAACTCTGTTGGCCCGTCTGGGGGCTCTGTTGGGCCCAAAAAAACCTCACGCGGCAGACCTCGCCGAGGCCCCGGGGTACCACGCCACGCCCTAGAAGATTTGAGACGAAGGACTCCGAACCCCTTAAAGAATCCTCAGGAGTGAGGACTGAGGCTCAGAGGGGGAGTGAGAGGAACTGAGAAAACGCCCACTCCGTGCCTCGAGGCACGCTGGCAGATTATTTGTATCGCTTGCCTCGCGGCATGCACAGCTTCATGCAGTTGGGCCATTCGCCGGGGTAATTCCATAACGGCCGGTTTTGCCATGTTTCGGGCGCCAGAACCCTCTCGGATCAATCCAGCTCGAAAAAAGCAGCAGAAAGATGGCGTCCAGGGCTCCGGTCGAATTTGTGTTAGGAATTTTCATGTTCGTGACGTCGGATCCCAGGGGAGCTTCCGTCTCTTCTCGCGCTGGGAGCCTCCATCTTTTCTCGATGCAAAGATAGATAGTCACGACGGGAGGTTTCTTCCAGGTTTCGGCCTCTGGGGGCCATCGCCGGGCCCAGGGACCGTCAGCAACCTGGCGGGATGACAAGCCAGCCCAGGCGAAGGGAAAGAGATCTCCAGGGATCCACGTCGTGGAACAGCCACAGCGTCGGAGTTCTGGGAGGAGAAGACTCCGATATCGTTGCTCGTCCCGGGAGAGCTCTCGGCGCCACGCGGTCAGATTCTCTTCGAGATCCTGGCTTTAGCGCACGCCAGGGGAGGTTTGGGAAGCAGCGACGGGGAGGGGTCACCAGTTGTTCTTGAGGATCGAGATTCCAGGATCGAGGCTCCAGGATCCAGGTTCCAGGATCGTGGTTCCTGATGGTCGAGGTTCTATGATCGAAGCTCGAGGAGGTGTTTGCACGTTTTGGGCCCGCTTTGGAGGATGTGGCGACTTTCCCAAACCTTAGGAGGTCTTTAGTTTTGGGAGCCCCCCATTTTTCTCTCGGCGGGAAATGAACTCGCCCCTCCTCCTCCTCCTCCTCCCCATCATCATCCTCATCCTCCTCCTCTAGCCTCCTCCTCCTCCTTCCTCCTCCTCCTCCTGCTCCTGCTCCTGCTCCTCCTCGTCCTCCTCCTCCTCTTCCTTCTCCTCACCCTCACCCCCTCCTCCTTCTCGTGCTTCTCCTCCTCCTCCTCCTCCTCCTCCTCCTCCTCATGCTCCTCATGCTCCTCCGTCCTCCTCATGCTCCTCCTCGTGGTCAGTGTTGAACCCTTTTGGCATTCAGGGAGCGTTCCGCAACGCTCTCGAAGCGTCCTGGAGTGCTCTGGAACGGCCCCTTTGACCTTGGCGTCGCAATCTGTCCGCGGTGTTGCCTCGCTTCGGGCCCCGGGACCCTCCCAGATCGATACACGCGGGTTGTTGAAAGTAGGTGTTTCTGGCTTCCCAGATCCCAATATACTTCAAGCGCCTTCCTACTTCAAGAACCGATACATTTTTTGGCTGTGGTTGTTATTCTCTGGGAGGTCCTGGACCCAATCCACTATATCCGCCTTCCTGCTTCATGTACTTCTTCCGACCGGCGTGTGTGGCTCGAAAAATGCAACGGAAATACGGGGTCCAGGCTCAGGTCGAGTTTGTGTCACGAAATGTGATGTTTGTTCGTGACGTCGGATCTCAGTGTAGCCTCCATCTCTTCGGTCACTGGGAGTGTCCAGGATCGCTCTCAGAGTGTTCCAGGGCGCTCTGGAACAGCCGCGACGCACGATGTATTATCTCTAGACCCTCCAGTTCTCAGAGACTCCCGCTTTGTCTTCCCCCGACTCTGTCTTCATCCTGCCTTCGTCTGGGTACAGTCAAGAGTACCTGGCATCGCTCGGACGTGTGTATTTTTTTTGCGGCGAGGACCCTGGAGGAGCATCCTGGACCATCGAGCAAAAAAAACACGCACGAAACCAAAAAATGCACGGGAAATGGACGTCCGAGCGACGGCAAGGGTAAGGACCATTTTGGACTCTGGAGGGGCTCTGGCTTTTGGACCACTCCTGAGATCTGGGCTGGGAAACCCACACGTGGCCGAGGCTCGCCGTGGCCAGAGGAGGAGGAGGAGGAGGAGGAGGACGAGTAATCAGCGTTCCTTCTGGTAGCACGGTGCCTGCACGATATAAAGCTGACGCACCATGAGAGCGTTCCGGAGCGCTCCCGGAGCGTGCTGGAGCGCTCTGGAACGGCGCGGCGATGGGTGCATCCTCCGGACTCTCCGAGAGCGGCCGCCAGGGGCCCGCGTCGTGACCCGAAGACCACCGGGCGTCGAAGGGCGGGGTGGGTACTAGCCACGGTCAGGGGCAACGGCAGGGGGGGACAGGCATAGGGGGGGAAATGTGCAAACCGCCAAGGACTCCTTGCAAAACCACCATTCTCGAGGTCGTCGGGCCCACTCCGAAGAAACCGAGCATGGGCAAACCGCCTAGAACTTCTATCAAAAACGGTTTCTCGGTGGTAGGGGGGGGGCGCATCGACCCCCGATCGCCCATTGATCGCCTTACAGGGGGATTTTCGACGAAAAATAAAAAGTACCCCAAAAGTGCCCCAAAAAGGCCAAAAGATATTCAAAAAATAGTCCCCAGACTACGTTTGGACTATGTTTCGACTATTTTTGGGGTATTGTTCATTTGTCGTTGAAAATCCCCCTGTAGGGGGACAGGCCCGACTTAATACTACCCATTGTCAGGGGCAACGATAGGGGGTGATAGGCATAGGCGGGGGTGCATCGACCCCCGATCGCCCATTGATCGCAGATAGGGGCCCGATAGCCCCAACCTGCCCAGGAAGGTGCGGATTCACCATCGGAGGCCTATCGCCGACCTATCGGCGATGTATCGCCGATTCCATTTCGACGTTTCCCCCCTATCCCCATCCCCCCTTTCGTTGCTCCTCACATGGATACAGGCCTCGGAACAGATTAGCGAGCACTCATGCCACAGTCACGTGTCAATGATCAGTGTTGGTGGTGGGTTGGATGAGCTACACTTCGACCGCAATCTTCCCTCGAGTACCAGCTTGGAGTTCTGGGGGGCGGGGGAGAGTCCACGAATTGTTCCCCCCTCCACCGGGGAGTGCTCACTGATTGTTTCCCTCTGACCTATCATGGCCAGGGCCACGGCATCTCCCAGATCTCACGTCCCCCCTCTGAAGCAGCGATGCGCACCTCCCCCCTCTCGGCCCGGCCCCCCTCTTCGGCGCACCCGAGACGACCGATGGGGGGGGGCCCAAAGGCCACATCGGCCCGAGGACCGCCAGGAACGCGAGCTTGAGGCGTCGACGAGCGGCGGCGGCGACGAGCGGCGACGACGACGACGGCAGCGACGGCAGCGACGGCGGCGGCTTCCTTGAAGTCGAAGCTCGCGGGAGAGGATGCAGCATGGTAAGAAAACTGGGCCAGAGCCCTGGACCCCACCTTTCTGCGGCATCTGTCGAGCCAGGTCGATCCGAAAGGGCCCCGAGCAAAATCGCCGGCTGTGGGCAAGACTGCGGCGCCAGGATCTCAGGGGGGAGGCCCGACCCAACGCGGCTCTCTGGCGGCCGCTCGGGACGAGGCGGGCACCGCCAGAGCATTCTCGGCGAGGCGCGGCTCCTGGGAAGAAGCCCGAGGCTGGAAGGCCCGCCGAGCTCCACGGAGGCTGCCGAGGCTGGCAGAAGGCCGCCGTGGATCTCACGGTTCGGCGGCGACGAGCGTCAGTTGGGAGCCTTGAGACGGGGGTCAGTGCAAAGGGGGTCAGCCAGAGCGCCCGATCTTGCAGGATCTTGCATGGCTGGGGTCGCATTGACCCGGGTTTGGGTGCAGGATCCTGCAGGATTCGGCAGGATCCTTCGCATTGACCCGGGCTTGGGCGCAGGATCTTGCAGGATCTTGCAGGGTTCTGCGAGGGCTGACTGACCCGGGTCTGGATTGACCCGGGTCAGAAGATCCCCGCGTCAGCCGAGAGTGGCGCCGCCAAGAGCGGCGGCAGCGCAGCGGCGCCGGCCCGCAGCGGGCAGGTCTCGGCCGACACGGCGCGCTCGGCCGCCGCGGAGGCGGCGGGCTCGGCCTGTGGCGGCGGCAGCGGCCCTCTGCCGCGGCCCGTGCCGAAGCAGCACGGCGGCGGCCCGCTGCCGTTTCCGGGCGCCTCGGGGGGGGCCACTCCTGCTCCTCGTCGCCCTCCTTCTCATACATCCTTCCCCGCGTAGATTTAAGTCGGGCCTGTCCCTCTACAGGGGGAATATTCAAAAGTAGTCAAAAAATAGTCTGGGCACGATGTTTTCACTATTTTTGATCGCTTGTTTTGAATATGTTTGGGGTATGTTTTTACGTTTCGTCCAAAATCCGCCTGTAGGGGGACATGCCCGACCTAAGCGTAGATCTGTTGATTCCACTTGTGAGCCATACTGCCCCGAGATGCAGCGTAGTGAAAAAATCAGGACGGAGGTTTTTCGCCGTTCTCGGCCTCTAGGGGCTCTCGCCGAGCCCCGGGGCCGCCAGAAAACGACGCAGGATGGAAAACCGGTCCTGGAACCCGTATTGAAGAAGATGCGACATCGGATCTCTATGTGTGATTGTCGGGGGGCCTTCTTGGGACCCTCTTGCGGCCTTCCTGCGGCCCCAGCAGGATCCTGGCCCAGAGCGACCTCGTTCCGTGCGGTCTGGACAAGCCCCAGGCGATTCGCACCAGTCGGGCCACCGTGCCCTTCAGGGTGGTGACTCCAGGAATCTGGGGCCACTCACGGGACTAAGACGCCCCGAAGCCATATTATCTCAAGTCCTCGTCCATCCCTTCCCTTGTAAATCACTTCTCCTTGCCGCACACCCAGACGGTGTCGGTAGGATGTGCAACAATTTCACGGATGGAGGGCGGGTGGTTTTCAAGATGTGGTCTTCGCCATTGCGCCGCGCACATTCGTCTTTCATATTGCAGCATATTCACCGAATGGAGGGCGGGTCGTTTTCAAAATGTGGTTCTCGCCTCAGTACGGCGCACATTCGCTTGAAATGTGTGCAACAGTTCCACGCATGGAGGGCGGGTGGTTTGCAAAATGTGGTGTTCGCTTCGCTCCGCACACATTCAATTTAAGAGTTTGCGACACTTGCATTGACGGATTGCGGCTCATGTTCCAGATGTGGTTCTCGTTTTAGCACCGCGCACATTCGTCTTACAAGTTTGCAGCGGTGTCCAGGGTTCGTATGGATGAATTCCCAGAGATGATGTTCTGGCAAGGTTTAGGGTTGTCAGGACGCAGCGGTGACGTTGATTCGTGGTGTTGAAGTCCCAGATGGCACGAGTTAGGATTGTCAGGACGCAACGGTCACTTTGATCCGCGGCGCTGAAGTCCCACGAATGATGTTTCGACGGTTGGGGAGTGCGAGACGGTTGTTTTCTAATAGGCCGCTTCCCGCAATGTCCCACAGAGTTTCACACTTCACACGCAAGCACCCCAATTCACAGCACACCCGACAAGAGGCACCAGGCCAGGCAACAGCATAGCAGATGCAATATACAGCATCACTTGCGAGACCTCTCAACGCCTCAGCAGACAGCATGGCCGACCAGTCGCGCGCAATCCGATTGCCAAGACCAGCGCAACCTCTACTCTCAGCATACCAAACCGCAGACTCCACAAAAGACGACCAAGCAACCAGCATTGCATTCGTTGACGACAGACTCATCATGGCACAGCGCAACGACAACGACCCCTTGGAGTACGACATGGCACGACCACTACGCACACAGCCCTGAACACCTACGGCTTCAAGCCAAACTATAAGCCGGTCAAGCCAGCACCCACAATGCACCTCGCAGGCAAAGGCGAACATCACGCCAAACAATGCCTACAGAAGGACCAGACAACACAGGGGATGTACAGCGGCATGGCACGTTTGTTGCTGCCGCCCGCCCCATTCCTGGCAGGGGAGCCTGCAGGGGGGCACACTTCATGGACGGGCGACGGGGCGTACAACGACATACGATACGAGCTGGTATTGCATAGCGACGGTACCGATCCCCACAGCGACAATTGCCCGCTTCACACCCGGCAATGGAGCCCGCGAGGCATACAGACCTCAGGGAGGAGCCACAAGGGCACGATTCGCGCCAAAGCATCAGACAAGACGACATGCTAGCCTCCCATAAGGAATTGCCATGGACGCGAAGCCAATGGGAAAGAGCGCCTGACATCGAGACAAAATACATCGCCATCAGGGTCATTACGAGCATTTTGTACGCACAGCAGCTATTCTCCACGGAAGTTGACTTCACTTTGCCGCGGCAACATTGGCTCAGATAACGACCTACTTGGCACCAGGTATTGGTGCCCTTCATATCGCGCCCACTGTCATGCATAATGACATCACTATTCCCGTTACTGCTACACATCATGATGACGCGTTTGTTGTTCACATTGATGAGTTGTCGAACCCACAGCGGTTCGCCCTTGCACCTGCAATTGAAACTTACATGACAGACTTCGAGAAAAGCGACGACCAACTCTCACGCGAACGGAAATCCGTGTTTGAACAACGTTGCCGTACAACCTCCAACCACTACGAGGACGACGGCAACGACGACCATCCATCGTTTCTCAAAGGCAAACCGCAGAAACCCACCTACGAGCCACTACAGGGGACTGCGACACCAGACCATTGCGACCCAAATACAGCATCCACGCTCAGGGCACAAGTAGAAAGGAACAAACAAGACGACGTCACCAACGCCAACCTGTCGACATCGCCATGGATTTGGGACACGAGTGTGTACAGGTTCCCACCAGGCAGGGATGGGCATGCACAGTCAAACAAGACCACATCACATTAGCTTACGTAGCAGATATCAACCCTGGCTACCTCCAACTACCGAAGACGTTGCTTGAAGACGGACTCAGCAAACGGAAGGCCATGATTTCGCACGACAGCATATACAGCCATTGGGCACAGCGACCACACGGCCCCATTCTACCGCCGCGCAGACTACATGCGAGACGGGCAACCACGCACACCGAACGACACGAAGAACCACGACCGACGACGACAAGTTATAGCCAGACTTCTATGGGACAAGCCGAGCGGCGACATCGACAACGGCATGGCAGCCACGCCGCAACGAAGACGGCACCGAGAAGGACCCCAAGGAGACGCAATGTACGACCAGCAGCACACAGAGCGATACCCGTTCTCGCTAGACGAGAACAGTGGCACACACACACACACACACACCAAGTACGAGACTACGGAATAACACAGTCATTTGCTCAATGGCCTACCGTGGGAACGCCATGGTGACCGGATCAGAGTTATTTGCGCTCGCATACTTACTTGCATACGTACCCAATACGTCGGGCGCAGCAGCACTCCACCCACCGTGGGCCCCATCAATCGTCGAGAAGTCCCACGGACATTACCACCGACGACGCACGCGCAACCCAGCTACATCGAGTTACACGAGGTAGACGGCTACATCGCGTGCATGCGCAATACATGGACAGATACGGTGAGAGAGCCACCACCTTTAGCACAACGACAGTCACAACTTCGACCGACACAACACGAGTTCCTATCACCAACTCCTTGTAATCCTGTCCGGCCACCAACCATCAGTTGGTTTGCGCTCATATTAGTAGTCAACTTACACCCACGCCGTCACATGCGACCCGCGTTCAACATCAACGGCTCAATTCAGGCCATCTACTATGCACATACCACGCCCACGAGGCACGATCTTATTTGACAGGCCGCCCGCACAGCTAAGAGGGGCAAGGACCGACATTGACAGACACCACCGCGACCGGATACAGCTGCAGCTAGAGCAAAGAGAGCGATCGGAGAAAATAGAATACAACAATGAAGACAAGCTCCGCAAGTTTTGCTCAGGCCACAAACATGAACGACCACCACATCCACCTACCCATGCACGCCATCACCCAAACCCAAGTTGCCAAGACCTACAGCAGCTCCAACTCACACACGACACAAGACCACCATTTCCAATCTTTGGGATGACGAAGGATTCGACGCTGCACTACCCACAGCCACAGATGGCTCAGCAGACGAAGGCACCTACACTGACAACAGCGGTCACGACTACAAGTACACCCCTGCGGCCCTCATTCTTACGCCCTTACCACCAGGCAATGGACACGACATGCACTGCCCGCCAGGCTGGACAGCAAACAGCGGCGATGGCAGGACAGACGACGACGGCGACAAGGACAATTGGCACGACGCAGCCTACTACAAAGCAGCCAACAACACATACACCTACCTTTTTCCAAATGATCACCTGCCGTTACCAAGCTGGCACAGATGTTTGGACAATCACACCAGCGTGTACGTCATTAGCAACAGGCATCATCAAGCCCTACCCCATCCACCGCTCAGGCCCGACCCACATGTGACCTGGCTCTCAACAGTCACGCTACCATTTACCGAGACGACCAAGTACTTAACGCTTAATTGCGCAGTGCCGGCAGACTCGAACCTTCCACCATGGCAACCACGATTGCATGACCAACGACGTCTACAGCTAGGACACGACACACAGGATTTCGCAGATTGCTATTCTTTCAACGAGGACTTCAGAGCCGCAGTCAATATCACCAACAGGCATCTTGTGTCCCGGATCCAAGCACCCACGACAAGAATGAACGACATTGCCAAGCAAGCCGTACCCACGCCCTCACAATGGCTTTGCTCTTCTCGCGAAGGCGACGACACAATGATGTATGACTGGGCAGTGCGCATACACGACACTGCACGCTCCTTGCCGCAAATATGCAACCCAACCGATTTACCAGGCAACGACCACCAAAATAGCCACAACGCCGTCAAGCCCTTGCAGCAGCGACAGCTCTACTGAAGACGCACCACAGCCAGCACAACAATCAGCTTCAGACGCGCAACAGGAAGCCACTACCACTCCTGACCAACAACCGACAGGTGCAAACGCACTCGCCATTCAGCAGCCCAGCACTAAGTCCAATCCACCAAATTCCACCAAGCTGCTACCTCACAAGGCAGCACGGGCACAACGCGGGCTCACCGAAATGCCAGCAGCAGGGCTAGCACCACAACAAACATTTGCCACCAGGCAGATCTACTTCGACCAGAAGCGCCACCGATCCACCTCCTTGATGGGCAAACAGGACCTACTTCAATGCCAATATATACAGAGCTCCTCGAAACGCACTACGACGAAGACGGCAACGATCAGAGGTTCTTGCAGCACATGAAGGCACTGCGCCACCACCAGCAGCAGTACCAACAAAATGTGGTAGAAGTGCGACAGCGCAACCTACACAATCCAGAACTACAACAGGCAGAGAAGATAACTATTGCAGTTGAAGCATTAACCATGCCCAGGCCCAAGTTCCCATTACCTGAGCACAAAGCGCCACCAACACCGAAACCAAGGTTCCACACCGTACAGGAGGACGGGGGTGACAACTAAGAGTAGCACAAGTTCCCCGCACGGAGTTGCCTCGCAACGACACACGGCACAAGACACGCGGTGTGGCACAACAGGTTCTAACGACACATCTACCACAACGATTGGGACGGCAGCGCAACGGGCATCGGCTAGTATTATACAAAGTTGCGCCCACGACCTCATATCTTCCACAACTACGGCTTCCAGAACATAAATTTCCGCACAGCGAAGCCTTCTGATTGCCACTCTATCTTGTTTAGTCCAGTTCTTTGATGTTACCTAAGTCGCACATCTGCTACTTCCTGAGGAGGGCTTACTCATTGAGGGCGGCGGGGATTGTCAGCAGCATCTGGTGGAGGAGGGGAGCTTGCTGTCCATGACAACCGACGGGAGGGAAGCCACTTTCTTTCCTCTGTGGCCTCCCACCAGCAGCTCGTTCAGTCCACTACCATAGCGTGCAGTGCCAAAGTTCTACCCGCAGCGTGCAGTCGGCTCCTTCTGCATTTGTCCTTTGCGTCCGCCGTCTCGGTCATTTCGTCTCTCCTTTTTCTCTCGCCTTTCCCGCTCCTTCTGATGGCCGTTGGCTTCTCCTCCCACCCCAGGGGTCGCGCCTCGCTGGTGGCTGGTGAACGGTGAGCTCCCCTGTGTCCGTTTGCGGATGCATGGAAGTTTGGCGGTCGTTTCCTTAGGCAAGTCACCCCACTCGCCCCCCCCCCCCCCCCCCCTTCTCGCCCGTCGTTGCTGGTTGCTGGCGAGCTGCACGCGGTGCCAGACACGCGACGTTGCTTATCGAAGGTTGCAGGACACCCTAGCGCTTGCCAGCCTCTTTCGCCCACTGCCCACGGCCAGGCAGAGCCGGCCGGACGGGTGAGGTTGGCGCGCAGGCAGGGGGCCACAGCCGCTGCACTCGCACATTCAATATCCTCAATTCAGCTCTGCGACTCTTTTCTGACCAGCATGCCAGTCGCACCTTCTACCTCCCACCTCTTCAGGCTGTGTCTACGCAGCATCTACGCAAACATATTAGATTTACACGGTGCATGTCAGGCCCCCCTTACAGGGTGTGGCCCCACAGCTCAGACCGCTAGCACCCGCATCCCATTCTCGTCGCCAGATTTGCTGCACTGTCTCTGAGCCAGGGGAGGTCACGGGTAGCAGTGGAGGTGGACGGGGACGGGTCGTAGGTCATGGCAGCCCGCAGTCGCACATGTTGTTTCTCATCCTCATTTTTGTCTATGTCTGCTGCGGCATGTTTCAGCATTGCTTCCCTGATCAGCCCCCCATCCTCACGCTTACACTCCATGAATCTGCAGCATGCGAATTTAGAGCTCCTAGACACCACAGACCAACCAGCCGCCATGGCCAGCTTGAGCGTTCAAGGCATACACAGTTGCATTTCAGGCCCCTCATACCAAAAGGCGTGGCCCCACAGCTCGGACATCCAGCCTTTGCGCCCATTTTTCGTCAGCTTTGCGGTACTGTTCTACTGGGCAGGTTGGTTGGGAGTGGTCGGATCGGTGGTTTGGGTGGTCAGGTATGTGATGCGGCAAGCGCAAGTACTTTGTCATTCGCCAATGGCCAGCCACTACACATGGCCAGCCTAAGCATTGCAAACAAACAGTGACATCCAGACCCCTTCCAACAGGGTGCGCCACACTGCAGCTCTCACTTTCACTTCTATTGGTACTCATTTGCCTCACTTCTATCGCTCTTGTAGATGCCTCTCACCTCACTTCTCTCCTGGCAGCTGCACTGTACTGTACCTAGGGGGGGATAAGGGCCACACGGATGGTCACAGCGACGGGGGACACCCTTGCAGGAATTGATTCGATGGAGGGGCCTCCCCCAGACGAGCCGCCGAATCAACAGATGTAGCACCCATGTTCTTGCTACTCCACAGCACTCGGCTGCCGCGCGCCTCTTATACAGTTCGCTGGCTGCGTTCCGGCACGAGTCATCCACTCGCCGCTCTGCCTCTCTTGCGTCTCCTGCACTGCACGCTTTGACCTTGAAAGCGCTGCACGCCTGGACCTGCAAAGTTCGTGCGGATCCTGTGGGTGGGCTCATCGGGGGAGGAGCACCAAGGGCATTCCAGGCGTTGCAGCCCATCCACTCCAAGCGTACTGCTCTCTCGACTGCTCCTCCCCACTCTGCCTACTAGCGTCGCTTGTTCTGGCAGCATGTTTGCAATCACCTTGGCTAGACACGGTTTGCCTGGACCACCTTGCTGGGGGTATGGGGAAAATAGTATGTGGCGATGGGAGGGACACCAGGGTAGCACCAGCTGCTGCTGTTGCCTTACCGCCTGGCGCGCGCGCACTCTGAGGCCCTGTACCTGTCCGTACTTGTCCGCACTACCTGCTCCGCTGCGCCCGCCGGGGGCACTTGTTGCTCGCCCCGCCAAGTCGGCGAGCTCTTCCTGCATTCAGAACGCATGTCTGGGCAGCGTCGAAAAAGGAGGACGAAGGAGAAGGAGGAGGAGGAGGAGGAGACGAAGGAAGAGACGAAGGAGAAGAAGGAGAAGAAGGAGGAGGAGGAGGAGCAGCGACGAATACCACGACGACCGCCACGACGACGGCCGGCGCCTCTGCGGCCGGCTGGCTGGGGCTCAGGCCGCCCTGGGTCCCCCGGCGTCGCGGCGCGGGGCGCGGGCGCTTGACGCCGTCGGCCGCCGCCGTCGGTCCGCGGCGCGGTGCACGGCGCCGTTGGCACGGCGCCCTCCGTCTCTCGGGACGTGTTCTCCTTGTTTTTCTCCTCGCCCTTCCTCCTCATCCGCCTCCTCGTCCTCCCTCCCCCTCGTCCTTCTCCCCCTCCCCGTCCTCACGCGTCCTCCTCCTTTCCCCTCCTCCTCGGGCAGGAGGGCGAGGAGGAGAAGGAGGGAGGAGGGAGGAAGGAGAAGCAAAACAAGCCGGGGAGGAGGAAGGAAAAGAAAGGAAGGAGGGACGGGAAGAAGGAAGGATGGGGACGAGGTGGAAGCAAAAGTTTCGCGCCATTAGTTAATTATGGCGAATTCCCAGGCGAGAGCCCCCTGCTCCAAAACGCACTATTTTGAAAAGGAGCCACCCTACATAAATTTAGCGATTACATCGTGTCAGCGAGATCCCCGCTTCGAAGAAGGACAGCACCCCATCCGTGCAAGTGCTGCACAGGCTTACACTTGTGGCCATGAGATTCGAGAAATGTTCAAGCGAGCTTACATGTCGGAAAAGAGCCTCGGTGGGTCCGTGCAGCGCTACGTGCGTTGATGATTCGAGTCCTCAGGCGATAATTCCGTTTTGAGACAGAGCAATCCCCCATCCAGCAGAACGTTGCATTAAAACGCATGCGCGCGGCGGCCAGTGCTCAATCCCTGAGATTGTTGTAGAAGACGAGTGTGCGCGGCGGTACAGCGAAAGCCCCACGTTGAGGAGGAATTGCCCACCATCCGTGGACCCGGGGCAACTGTTCAAGACGAACGTGCGCGGTGCTAAGGCGGGAGCACAATTTTGAAAACGAGAACCCTTTCCATCCCTGAGCGTGCTGCAAACGTTTCAGACACATGTTCGCGGTGCTAGAGCGAGAGCCACATTTTGAAAGCGCTCCCCCACCCTACATCGGTGGACCTGTTGCAAGCGTGTAGGACGAATGTGCGTGGCGCCAGGGCGAGAGCCACATTCCGGCAAGGAGCCGCCCTCCATCTGTGAGATTGCTGCAGGTGTTTGAGGCAGGTGCGCGCGGTGCAAAGGCTGGAGCCACACGCTGCAAAAGAATCGGTCTCCATCCGAGAGAGAAGTGCAGCCGTGCAGGACGAGTGTGCGCGGCAGTAGGGCGAGAGCCACGCGTTGAAAAGTGACCGCCCCCGTGCAGTGAAGTGCCCGCAGATGTTCAAGACGGATGCGCGCGACGCTATGGCGAAAGCCACAGTTGCGAAGGAGCCGCCCTCCATCAGTGAAGCGGTTGCACCTTTCAAGAGGGCTGTGCGTGGCGCTGAGGCGAGAGCCACATTTTGCAAACGCCCCCCTCTCTTTGTGACATTGGTGCAAACGACGAATGTGCACGGCGCTAGGGCCAGAGCACCATTTTGAAAACCACACCCTTCCATCCGTGAAACTGTTACGAACTCCGAGAGACGGATATGCGTGGCGCCAAGGCGAGAGCCACATTTAGAAAATGACTCCCCCTCCATGCGTGAAGCTGCGCTTCAGGCGAAACGCCCGTCCCGCCCTATTTGCACGCCTGGGGGTGGGACAGGGATTTCATACTCAAATGAAGAAGGAATGAAGGAGGAGAAGAAGGAAGAGGAGAAGGAGGAGGAGGAGGAGGGAGAGGGAGAGGGACCACGTCACTCCTCCTCCTCCTCCTCCTCCTCCTCCTCCTCCTCCTCTCCGCCTCCTCCTCCTCCTCCTCCTCCTCCTCCTCCTCCTCCTCCTCCTCCTCCTCCTCCCTCCTCCTCCTCCTCCTCCTCCTCCTCCTCCTCCTCCTCCTCCTCCCTCCTCCTCCTCCTCCTCCTCCTCCTCCTCCTCCTCCTCCTCCTCCTCCTCCTCCTCCTCCTCCTCCTCCTCCTCCTCCTCCTCCTCCTCCTCCTCCTCCTCCTCCTCCTCCTCCTCCTCCTCCTCCTCCTCCTCCTCCTCCACCTCCTCCTCCTCCTCCTCCTCCTCCTCCTCCTCCTCCTCCTCCTCCTCCTCCTCCTCCTCCTCCTCCTCCTCCTCCTCCTCCTCCTCCTCCTCCTCCCTCCTCCTCCTCCTCTCCCTCCTCCTCCTCCTCCTCCTCCTCCTCCTCCTCCTCCTCCTCCTCCTCCTCCTCCTCCTCCTCCTCCTCCTCCTCCTCCTCCTCCTCCTCCTCCTCCTCCTCCTCCTCCTCCTCCTCCTCCTCCCTCCCCCCTCAGACCTCCCCCCCTTCCCTTCCCCCCGCGACCCCCCCAGACCCCGAACGGCCCGCCCAGTCTGCAAGAGAGAATTCGCGGCGGCCTCGCGGCCACCTTTTTTCCTCTGATCGCCGCCGCACCCCGCCGGCCTCTCGGAGGGGCTCCGTGGGCGAGGGTGATGCCAAGGGCGGCAGCGGCGAGGACGTCGGCGGCGGGGACGGCGGCGGCGGGGACGGCGGCGGCGAGGACGGCGGCGGCGGCGGCGGCGGCGACGACCACGACGACGACGACGACGACGACGACGACGACGACGACGACGACGACGACGACGACGACGACGACGGGGACGACAACGACGGGGACCAAGACGAGGATGAGGTCCAGGGCGGATCTGTGCCCTGGAGCCCCTCCGCACCCTCCCCGCGGCGCCTGGGGAATCGGCCTCTCTCGCGCAGCCCTCTTTCCTGGCGCGAGCAGCGGCCCAGAAAGGCATGCCCTGCGCCCGCCTCGGAGGCGTCGCGGAGGAGCCTCCCCCCCCCTCGCCTTCCTCTTCCTCCTCCTCCTCCTCCTCCTCCTCCTCCTCCTCGTCCTCGTCCTTCTCCTCCTCCTCCTCCTCCTCCTCCTCCTCGTCCTCCTCCTCCTCGTCCTCCTCCTCGTCCTCCTCCTCCTCATCCTTTCCTCTTCCTCCTCCTCCTCCTCCTCCTCCTCCTCCTCCTCCTCCTCCTCCTCCTCCTCCTCCCTCTCTCCTCCTCCTCCTCCTCCTCCTCCTCCTCCTCCTCCTCCTCCTCCTCCTCCTCCTCCTCCTCCTCCTCCTCCTCCTCCTCCTCGTCCTCCTCTTCCTCCTCCCCGGTCTTCGATCCTCGAGGGCCTCGACCCCCGGGAGGTGCAGCGGCCGGCGGCCCCCCCGTGGCTGGCCCATCCCCTGGCCCGCCCGCCCTCCGACGATCACACACTGGAAGGGACCTCGCAAGCTTTCGTCGGGCCTGCGCAGTGTCGCGGGGGCCCTCGCGGGGGCCGTTTCCCGATCCCCGGGGCCATCGGAGCTCGATCGGGGACGAAGGACGACCCCTCGGGGAAGCGGTCGGCACTTCGGGGCCGCGGGCGGGAAAAGGCAGATGGGTATGTCAGTCAGGAGGGAAAGGAACACACAGACACAATTGATCGTCGATTCCCCAGAAAATATAGGAAAATATGTGAAGTGGGGGGGAAGACAAAAACCCAGAAAATATCGGAAAATATGGGGAATATGGTTATTTGAGTCTATTTGTTTGTGTGTCCCAGCTCCCCTTCAATGTCAGGGGTCTGCTCTTGGAGGGCTTCGCGCCTCGGGGCGCGTTCCAGCAGGCGCGCCTCGTCGAGAGCTCTCCGAGGGTGCGCGAAGGGTCCCGAAAGGCCCCGCCGGGGGCCGCCAGGTGGATACAGTCAGCCCGGTAAGGAAGGAGCCCTCTTCGTTGGGGAGGGCCTGCGTGCTCCTTCGCAAGCGTTCGAAAGTTTGTCTCGGGTGCTCCTTCGGTTTTCTGCGGGACATCGGAGCTGCACGTATGGAGAAAAGGGGCCTGGTTCATCATTTGGGGTTCCTCGTGCCAGCGTTTCGACTGCATCACGGCCGGGGCAAGGAAACCTCTCCGATGGCGAGCCCCCCCCCTCCACTTCTTCCCGCAAGCCCTTGCCCCCGCTCGTCCGCGCACGTGCCTCGGGCCACCATGAGATATGCCCCTTCTTCGACGCGCCCGATCGTTCGCCATGCTGTCCAGACCTTTTTTGGCGTCGTAGCAATAACATTTCTCTTTTTCTATATATATATATAAAAAAAGGGACAACGGCGGGGGATGTTTCACAATGCGTGGGCGGGGGATTCTGGGGCGGCAGTCTGGGGCCCGCGCCGCGGCGGCATTGCGTGCTCTCGCCTCGGCGCCGCGCATCTTTTCCAAACGCGGTGATTCCGCCTCGGCGTTTGGCGCATTGTTGGCAGCATCCTGATGGCAATTCGAGCCTCGTTGGGACTGCTGGGGTCGGCGGGGCCTGCGAGCGGCGTCCGCCGTCTCCGTCGGTGTCGGCAGGGCCTGCGCGCAGCGTCCGCCGTCTCTTAGGATCTCTTTGTGTATATATATATATATATATTCCTCAGGAGGGATCCCTTAGTAAGAAGTTCTCCGTAAACGTTCCTTAATCCGGATTTCATGATGTTGGTTCCTTCGAACATCTTCATGCATCACGAACCCTTCGTAAGAGTTGCTTGATGAAGATTGTGCAACAAAGATGCCTTAATCGAGATTATGGATTTAGATTTCATGGTAATGGTTCCTCACTGACGATTTATTTGAAAGGATTCTTTAATCAGAATTCATTACTACGGGTTCATTAACACAGATTCCTTATGAAGGACTCCTTCATATAAATATAATTTCTTTAATACAGATTCCTTCGTACATGTTCCTTACTGCAGATTCATTGCGAAGGGTTTTTCAATGAGGATTCCTCAGTGAGGATTCCTTATAGTGAGGAGTCTTCAACGCACGTTCCTCACCGAGGATTCCTCAGGGTTCATACATGGAGGTGCCTTAATCTAGATTCCTGAGCAAGGATTCCACAATGCATATTCCTTTTTACGGACCCCTAAGTGAGGATTCCATCGCATGGGTTGTTTGGTAAAGTCCCCAGAGTCAGGGTTGTTGAGTGAGGATTCCCGGGCAATGAGTCCTTAGTGAGAAAGCTTCAAATAAGGATTCTTCAATGCGCATTCTTCGATGCAGATCTCTTCATGCAGATTCCTTAGCACATAGCTCTTGCGAAATATTCCTTCGCAAATATCCTCTACTGCAGGTTTCTTGATGCAGGTCTCTTAAAGCAGGTTGCTTTCATACATTGTCCTGAATAGCGATTCTGTAATAAGCATCCCTTACTGCAGATTCCTTGCGAAGGATTCCGTGGTAATGGTTCCTGAGTAAGGGATTATTCAGTAAGGCGCTTTTTACCAAGGATTGTGTTGTACATATTCTCTCGTACAGCTTCCTGACTCGAGTCTCCTTAGCAAATCTTCCCGTATACGGAATTGTTCGTGAAGTTTCTTACTACGAAAGTTGTAAATGTATGATTCTAAGGACCTCTGAATCACGATTCCTGATTGAGGCTCCTTCAAAACTCCCGACGAAGAATTTCTTATACCAGATTCCTTGCCAAGGGGTCCTCAGCAACGGTTTATATTGGGGATTCCCCCATGGAGGTTCCTCGCTAACTTCGAGAAGATTCCTTACAAAAAGATTAGATGTTTTAGAACATGTCTTACCAAGGATTTCTGAGTGAAGGTTCCTCAGCCAGGATTCCCCAAGGATGGTTGTTCAGTCAGGGTTCCTTTGTCATGTAAAGACTATTCAATGCCAAGCAGCGCCTAAGATGCCAGACGATGGCAAGAGCAGGACAACTCATTGCCTAGCACCACCAACCACGACCCACCAATTCAAGGCAATGCCAAGCACGACCAACCAATGCTGATAACCTCAAGCTAATGCCAAGCAGCGCCATGGATCACCAAACAGTTCCCAACAACGCCAAGCACCTCCAACCAATGCCATGCACGACCATCCAATGCCAAGCATGTCCTACACGTGCCAGGCAATGGCAAGAGCGGGGGCACACATTGCCAAGCACCGCCAAACATGACCAACCAATGCCAAGCGATGCCAAGCACGCCCATTCAACGCCATGCACGACCAATCAACGCCAAGCATGATCAACCAATGCCACGCATTGCCAAGCGCGATTGCTCAATGTCGCACGCGACCAAGCCATGCCAAGCAATGCTAACTAAAGTCGACCAGTCACTGCCACGCGCAAGCGCGCAATGCTGAGAAATGCCAGGCGCGGGTAACCAGTGCGAAGTAAAGCCGGCCACGACCATTCAATGCCAAACGCAACCAAGCAACGCCAAGCACAACCAACCAAGGCCAAGCAGGAGCACTCGTTTGCAAGCAGCTCCAAGCATGACCAGCGACTGCCAAGCAATGCCTCGCCCAGTAGCACTGGAGCATTGCATCAGCAGTGGAGCATCACCACAATATACAGGGCATCATACCGGGGTTGTTCCAAAGCCACCAGTCTGAATCAATCGCTGTCAGGGCCGCCGCCAGCGCGCCGCCGTGGACGAACGGAAATTATCCCGGCAAAGCAACCGAACAGCGATGTATAGGAGCATATCTGGAAGCATTCCCCTGAAGATTCAGATGAGAATCCAGTTGTAGAGTTCTGTTGTTCTCGCAGTCGTAGTCGCATTCGCGATGACAGTCGCAGTGGCAACAGCAGTCGTAGTCACAGCCTCAGCCTCAGCCTGCCTCAGCCTCAGCCTCAGCCTGCCTCAGCCTCAGCCTGCCTCAGCCTCAGCCTCAGCCTGCTTCAGCCTCAGCCTCAGTCTGCCTTCAGCCTCGGCCTCAGCCTCAGCCTGCCTCAGCCTCAGCCTGCATCAGCCTCAGCCTCAGCCTCAGCCTGCCTCAGCATCAGCCTGCCTCAGCCTCAGCCTCAGCCTGCCTCAGCCTCAGCCTCAGCCTGCTTCAGCCTCAGCCTCAGTCTGCCTTCAGCCTCGGCCTCAGCCTCAGCCTGCCTCAGCCTCAGCCTGCATCAGCCTCAGCCTCAGCCTCAGCCTGCCTCAGCATCAGCCTGCCTCAGCCTCAGCCTCAGCCTGCCTCAGCCTCAGCCTCAGCCTGCTTCAGCCTCAGCCTCAGTCTGCCTTCAGCCTCGGCCTCAGCCTCAGCCTGCCTCAGCCTCAGCCTTCAGCCTCAGCCTCAGCCTCAGCCTCAGCCTCAGCCTCAGCCTGCCTCAGCATCAGCCTGCCTCAGCCTCATCCTCAGCCTCAGCCTCAGCCTCAGCCTCAGCCTCAGCCTCATCAGCCTGCCTCAGCCTCAGCCTGCCTCAGCCTCAGCCTCAGCCTGCTTCAGCCTCAGCCTCAGTCTGCCTTCAGCCTCGGCCTCAGCCTCAGCCTCAGCCTCAGCCTCAGCATCAGCCTCAGCCTCAGCCTCAGCCTGCCTCAGCCTCAGCCTCAGCCTGCTTCAGCCTCAGCCTCAGTCTGCCTTCAGCCTCGGCCTCAGCCTCAGCCTGCCTCAGCCTCAGCCTGCCTCAGCCTGCCTCAGCCTCAGCCTGCCTCCATCAGCCTCAGCCTCAGCCTCAGCCTCAGCCTCAGCCTCAGCCTCATCAGCCTCAGCCTCAGCCTCAGCCTCAGCCTCAGCCTGCCTCAGCCTCAGCCTCAGCCTCATCAGCCTCAGCCTGCCTCAGCCTCAGCCTCAGCCTGCTTCAGCCTCAGCCTCAGTCTGCCTTCAGCCTCGGCCTCAGCCTCAGCCTGCCTCAGCCTCAGCATCAGCCTGCCTTAGCATTCAAAATGTGGCCCGGGAGTGGAGTTCTGGGAACTCGAAGACCACGAAGTGGCCTACGGTTGGCTTCGGGCATTCAAAATCATGCCCAGGAATGGAGTTCTGGGAACTCGAAGACCACGAAGTGGCCTACGGTTGGCTTCGGGCATTCAAAATCATGCCCAGGAATGGAGTTCTGGGAACTCGAAGACCACGAAGTGGCCTACAGTTGGCT